TTAAAACTTTTCAGGCACAACTAAGTCAAAACTGAATGGATTTTATCTGGTGTAATACTGCATTTAAATTCAAAAATACAATTTATGGCGAAATAAGAATTCTGTGCCGAAAAATCAGCTTGAAGACGATTCCGCAATTTACCTAGCTATTACTTGGTCAAAACTGAGCCGATTTTCAAAAGCAAAACCACTTCTACCTTCACATTTGGTAGACCGAGGGGAATGCAAGGAAGAAAAATGAAAAAAAATTAGAAAATGGCAATAAGTGTAAGCTTGAAAACTTTGGTTAAAAGCTGCAATAGCAAAAGCACGCGTCAATTGACTTGGCTGAAAAGCTTTGCGTCTGTACAGTGGCTGTCAAACTGTGGCAGCGGGTGCTCAACACGGTTAACAGGCGCCACAGCAATTGTGGTGAATTTTGTTGGCCTTTACATTCGTGGTGGGAATTGAAGCGATTTTGCGTCAGTTCTGACGAGTTGATAACCTTTCTTTGGATTTTTTTTGCGGCTTTTGCAACTTCATTCACATCATGAATATGAATATGAGACTATGAATATGAATTTGTGTGCCAGAGATAAGCTGCGGCCACCTCTGACTTAAGTCGGAAGACAGAGCTCTGGAGCAGTGGACATTAATAATATGTATATATGTGCACGTACATACGTACATACGTACATATATAGATGCTTGTATATAGTCACTGTTCTTGGTCAGACTGACCCAAATCGAGTGGCGCCCCGCTGATAGGACAGGTCGCGCCAACAGCACCAACATTAGCAGCAGCAGCAGCAGCAGCAGCAGCAGCAATAGCAATAGCAATAGTAATAGCAATAGCAAATAGTCATTTGCATAATCTTTCGTCCAGCAATTAAATGCTCATCTAAAATTATTTTTAGACTCGCTCTGCTATCAAGAACGGAAGCCACCAACAAACCAAATCTTTCGGGCTCCGGCTCGGGCTGCTGGGCGCAAAAAAGGCAACGCTTCGATTGGTCGTTGCCTGCCGCCATACGAAGCCACCAGCACAGCCAGTTAGCTAGCCAGCGGGGGGAGGGGTGGTGCTGCCCCTTGCCCCTTTTTGGGGTTGGCACATGCGCTCAGCTGTCGCTTTGGCATCGGGGCGCCAATGAGAAGCCCGCCTGCTGTGGGTGGCAGCTGGGCGGACAGGCGCTGCTCCTAATTCGCCAGGACAGTGCGGCCCAAATGTGTCAACTCTTCTGTTTATGATCGTGGCCAAAACACAAAATCCAACTAGCCAGTTGAGTCATTTTTTGTATTCAGCTGCATTTCCAAAGTCAACTGGTAAATTTAATTTTATTTATAAAATTTTACTCTAATAGAAATCGCTGCAACGTTTGATTTTGTTTGAAAAACCGAAAGATGGTTTTTTATTCAGCTTAAGTCTTGGAATATTAAGCAGCTTTATTATTGAACATCGTTCAGTTTGCTTATAAATAAACGATATTCGAAAAGCTATACTTATTTAAATTTTGTACTTATTTCTCACGTAAGAATGTGATTTAATGGAAAAACAGATCAATGAGTTTCACTTTCGGCTCATATTGGATTTATAAACTAGAAAACTATCCAACAAAGGTATTTATATTGATAAGAGTTTTGCTTTTGGGACTATTAAGTTAAGCTGATGTCCGAAGATAACTCCACAAAGTGTAGCTAGCATATTTATTTTTAGCCATTAGATAAGATACAATTTTAAACCCGCCAAATTTTGAGCTTAATATAATAGATAGAATTTGGTAAAACTAAAATGCAATAAATGTTGGCTATTCAAAAAATTAATTACAGTTATGATGGGTATACAGTCAAATTATATATGGATATGCCTACAAATCTTTCTTAGATCAGAGAAAGTGAAAATTTGTTTGGTAGACAACGTACAAGAACGAAAAGAAGAAACTCTCACATTCTTCGCTTTTTCTTTTACTTCTCTACCTTCGCTACCTCGTAATCTGGAGTGCCATGGGTATATTAGTTATTGGTCGAACAAGATATCATGAAATTGTTGCATAAAGTCAAATTTACATTCATCATTAATGTAAGGAAAATAATATGACTTAGTAAAGGGTATTCCATAGTATAGGGTATTCTACGATCGATGCTCGATTATGTTCGCCACATTCGTTTCCTTCGTGTGAAATGCAAACAACTCCAAGAAGGTATTCGAAGAGAGACAAAAATAAAGCAAGTACGAATACTCTAGTGCAAAGTGCTCGACTGTCCGATACCCTGAACCCAGTTGTTAAATGTATTTATCCAGTGTATTTGTGAAAATATATAGATATATACAGAGATCAATGTAGGCATACTTCTTGGGCCATAACTTGTGTATTGAATATCCAATCTTAATACAATTTTTACAATTGATGAATAACATGTCAAAGTATGTTATAAATCAATTGAAATGCTGTCTTGTGTCTTTTTACGGGCCAAATATGGCCTAAGTGTGTCAGCCCATCGGGCTGACAGCCGACATAACCTAACCTAACCTAGTGCCATCGATAACCGATATGTATCGATATTCACAAATCGAGGCAGTTTTCGACAAAAATCAAATAAACTTAATCTGCGTATGGTACACCAGAACTAAAATTACAAATTCTATAGCTCTTATAGTCTCTGAGATCAGACAGAACGACGGACGGACGGACATACTGATATTGCTAGATGCTAGACTCCTACGCTGATGCTGAACAAGAATATATATACTTTATGGGGCAGAGATAATTCCTTTTATCTGTTACATACTTTTGCACAATAACTTCAATATTCCAGGGTATAAGAAAGCGTCACACTAATAACAAATGCAAGCATGGACAAAGCGCCATCTGGCGACCGTAACACAAATAACAAATCTAGACTCAGACACACACACATATGTGTTTGTTTGTGCACTATCAGTGGGTGCTGCATTTGGGTTGCCTTTTCGGTTGGTGTTGGCCTCTTCACGCCAATATATCAGTTGACCTACAGAGCTGCAGCAGCAACAGCAGCAACAACAGCAGCAACAACGGCAGCCTAACGTCAACGTCGGCAGCGGCATCGTTGCATTTGTTGCCGTCGTCGTCGTTCCAGTTAAACGTGCGACCGCTCCCTACAGCTGACAGCGATAAAGAATACGGAGTGGGGCTTTGTCTGGTTCAGGCCCAGGCCCTGGAGCAGACTTACACAAACACACTCACACACACATAGACACGCACACAGACACACATTTCTCTCATTTCGCCATGAGGCGAATTTAGTGCAGAGCATCAACTTTGCATCCTGTTTACCGACAAATGTGAGAAGAGCCAGTTGCACAAGCGCGCTGCGATAAACGATGCGACGCAGCAATGAAAGCCACCCACGGCACGAACAGTGTCACAGTTTAGCTGACAACAATTTACTTTTGTACATATAAATTTGTATATTTACTTACCGCATTTATTCATTTTAGGCTAGCTTTTCGATCCATATAATATTAAGTACGCATTAATATTAATAAAATTCCAAATTGCGCAGAGAAGTTCAAAGTTAGCTCAACATCAAAATCAAATAAACGCAGCGTTCCATAAAAAAATATTTAGCATCATTGCACCACGGTAGACTCTCACGTTCAAGTTTTGCCTGTTGGTTGCAGCACTTAAGCAAGTGAGCATTTCTGTGTGCGTATGCTATAGTGTGTCTGTGTGTGTGTGTGTTTGTTAGTGTGTGAGTGTGTATTAGTGTGTGTGTGTGTGTGCGCACATGCTAACGCTTCGGGCTTCTTCGGCCGTTTGCGGTCGTGTTCGCAAGCTGCTCGTGACGCTATTTCTTCCACGGTGCAGCGGCTTTCGTGTTGAAGTTCTTCCACTTCTACATTCGGTTGCGCACCGTTGTACGAGACGGTCGCACAATTTTCGGTGCGTTAGTTACACTATTTCCTGCGAAAGCGAATTCGACTGTGATTCGCCTGGGTCGCCAGGCTGTCTCTCTTGATTTCTGTTCTCGTTCTTGTTGTTCTTCATCTTCTTTTTCTTCTTCTTATTCTTCTTCTTCTTCTTGTTCTTATTGGTGTTCTTTAAGTGCAATTTGGACAATGTATTTTTTTTTTAAAGTGTTCTCTTAAAGTGCCAAATAATATTAAATATTTTTTTTACTGTTCTGGTGCCATCAAGGATATCAAAAAATAAATAAAATAAATAACCAAAAATAAAAACAAGCAAGGAAAACGCGCGCGTTCTCTCGCAGGATCGCAAGAAAATAATTCTTGGCTTTGGCTACTTTGTTGGCTTTTATTGATCTAGTTTTTTATTTTAATTTCGCTTAAGAACCGGAAAACACAAACTGAAAACGACGAAATAACCAACAAAGTGCAAAGCCGAAAAGTCCAAAATGATGAACAAACCAAATAAATTGAATAAAATAAAAAAAAATTAAAGAAATAAAAAATAAATGAGAAGGAAGCGAAAGCCGAACCCTATCCAAAAAAGTGGCCGACAAAAAGTTGCTAAAATTTTGAATGTCGCGCGCGAAATGCAAAACGCAACCCAAATTCAAACAAACAAATACCAAATTCGCGCAGATCTACCAAAGAAAAGCACAAAATACTAGGAAACAATAAGCCAAAAAAAAGAAAGAAAAAAATATAATAATAAAAGAAATAAAAATAAAATGAAATCAAAATATGAAATGTCGTAGGAATTTCGGGCAGCTTTTGCTTAAGCCTGAGCTTGCCCAGAGATTATCCCATTCGCCTCTTTTGTTCTGTTTGCGTCTTCTTTATCTGTTTTCTCAGCCAGCGTTTTCTGACGAATTCGCGTTTTGACTTGTCTTTCTTTTGTTTTTTTTTCTGCGCTGGCAGCTTTTGGTTTCATACATGAAATATGTTTTATTTTATTTTTATTTTTATTATAATTTTTTTTTTTTTTGGTTTTCTGCTGATGCAGCTCATGCGTTTATTATTTCGCCAGTTCCTAAACGGCTCTGTCGGCCCGTTGACAATAGCTGAAATTTGTTTTCCTCATTTCTTGCAGTGCCATAAACATCGTAACCTTTTTTCTTTTTTTTTCTTACGTCAAAACGCATCGATCGCATCAGAGGAAAACACCTCGAATACGAATAACCCCAAAACACTGCCCCATACAATTAAACTCAAATAAATCACAATAGCCAAATCGCTGCCAAATCCACAAATCTCTCACTTAAAACACACACAAACCATGGGATCAACGGGATCCCAAGCGACGGCTTCGATGTTCCGTCAGCGACAGACGATGTCGCTGCTCTGGCGCCTCTTCGCCGTTGTCCTCGTACTGAACGCCTGCCATGCGCAGCTCCTCAATGCCAAGGTGAGTAACAGCTGACCGCTAACAGATTAACTAAATTGAACAAACTGAAAAGGGAACACGAGCTAACATCAAGTTAACATTTTAAACAGAGCGATCGTTGTGTAATATAGAAGACTATGAAAATGAAACAGCGTCTTAACAATATAAATTGCTAAAATACTATTTGAGTTTTCCAGCATATTTAGAATTCATAGGTAAACATATTAATTAACTTGCTGAGCATATTTTCATATGTAAAATAGTCAACCGATAAATATATTAACAAGACTTAATAATTTTGCGATTGGTAATTCATCAAAAATGTAATCTCCATTTGTTGTATAAGTCTACATCATTTTTAATTTTAAACGTGTTATCGAAATTGTAGATCACAATTCGGTAAAAATTTGCTAAGAGATCTTAACACATTTGCCAAAAAATATCTTTATCAAGCGTAGGCACTTGAGAATGCTACATAAGTCCGCTACTCTGCTTAGAGCGTCATATTTTCATACTATAGCAATATGACTTATTTGCAGCGTTAAGCGCTTATCTCTCAGATATAAGATAGTGATATGAATGCTGATCAAAAATTGCTGTTGTTACAACGATTTGTAAAGGCAATTAAATATTCAACTTTATTGTTGAGTATATAGAAAGACATAATTATTACCAGATCTTTCGGATATTTCGGCATTTTTTTTTGCTATTTGTGACAACATCTGGCAAAGCAATGAATTTGATTTCTAGAGAAAATATATATATACATTTATATTTGTATATGTGTTACATACTTGTAGTCTGGCTAGAAGCATCAAGAATCTTACCCACAGCATCCTCACACACACTCACATGCACAAACACATGATGATCTAGTTTTTGTCTTATGTAGATGACACAACACACGAGTCGAACAGAAACAGCAACAACGAACTTGATCTATTTTACATGACAGATACATAAATATTAAACAAAAACAAAAAACAACAAAGCAACAACAATAATACTCTGTTGGAATGTATACTATATATATATATACATATATATGTATATATATATATATATATATATATGTACGTACTTTGTTGTTGGAAGAGTTTTTCTACCTTTTGATGTTGACCTTTGCTCGTTTGTAACAAATTAATAAAAAACTAATGAAAATGAGAGCCATTAAACTGAACAAGAAGCAGAACCAGAAGAATGGGGTGTGTGGGGGGGGAGGGGTGTGGAGTTGAAGAAAAGAACACTTGTGTGTACGCACTACTTATCAGCACAGTGTGCGACAGAGACAGCATCTGAGAGCAACAGAGCCAGTGAGAGTCAGAGTCAGAATTCCATAATGGTACCAAAATAAGCATACCCTATAAAATGTACACACATCCATACACACATAAATACACACATACGTTCTTTCGACTGACACCGGATTTGATTGCGACAATTTTTCGTTACAGTTTTTTTTTCTTTCATTTTCATTCTTGAATTCAATTAAATTAAGAAAAACAATTATTTTGTCTGTCAGGCCAAACGCCTTTGAGCTCCATTATGGGTCAGTGGGGTTATCATAATCCAAATTAAAAAAAAAAACAAGGACGGAATATATATTTTTAATAGGTTCTTTCAATTATTATTTGGTTGCCAATTTCGATTTCAGGAATACATAAATATAATCATTTTTTTTGTTTGTTTGAAATTTATATATATTTTTTTTTGCCAATTATGAAAGGCCTGATTGTTGTCCATCACGCGTGAATATATATATTTATATATATATATATATATATATATATATAAATGTGTGTGTGTGTGTTTGTGCCCATCATAATGAGCTGATAGCTAATGGCTGATAGCCTCTTATCAGCGTGTTAATGACATGTAGTCGAAGAAGTCAGCGTCGCCGTCGTCTTGCCATGAAATAATTTCTTAAATTAACATTTCAATAAAAATAAAACAACAACAACCACAAAAAAAAAAAACAGAATAAAAAAAGGCAATTATATGCTAGTAGTCAATGTAACCAGCGCCTTATCAGACTGGCTCAAGCAATTACAACGTATTCTGCAAGAAAACTGAACGAAAATGAAAACGAACTGAATTAAGAGCAGGCCATCGAATGGGGTCAGTCAGCAACAAAGAGTCCCTCATGCTAGCGATATGCGTGCATGTGGTTGCATCCGGCGTATGCGCAATATGCGCATTGCGTTTACAGAACACGCATACGCACAGGTTAACAGCTTAACTAACAGGCGAAGGAATGCTGAGAATACGCTCGTATGTTAAGCTTATAAGCTGAACGAGAGATTAACAGCGTGTAAGGATAACATTTCAAGTAACAGATAATAACTGTTAAGATCACTTACATGATTTGCTTAACAGAGCCGAGGAAGAGTGTGGCTGTGATAACAGCAGATTGAACGGATAAGCTGATCACGTGTTAAGGGATAACATTAATCATTTACATGCGAATTGGCAGCGTTAACAGCGTAATTGACTTGGACACCCACAGGTGTCGCTTCAACTGTAACAGCTGAAAGTTTATCTGATCACACGCAAATATATAAGATTTATGCATGTCGGTGTGGGTTGTGTAGGTTGGGTGGCCTTATTAACAGTCGTGCCGACTGCAAATAGTAAAAGTTTTAGGTGGAGCCGCTGTATTTAGCTATTATACGCTAATTACAGCCAGCAGATACAAATGTATCTGCACATGTGCGCCTGCATATGTATCTACATACATGTATGTGCGAGTGTATCCATAGCTATATCTATATCTCTATAGGACTGACATATGTGGCCTGCATGTCATCAGATTTCGTCTCTCTTTCTCCCCCCTCCACTCGTCTGTCTTTCTGTCAAAATATTTGCAAAGACAGCAAACAGTTGCCACAAAACAACAACAATAACAATAAGTGCCACAGCATTGTCTTTGTCTGCTCTTCCTTTTAATTTCGTTCATGTTCTTTTGCATTTTCGTTTTTTTTTCTTTTTTTCTTTTTCTCAGCAAATCAATTCTTGAGATGAATTTTATTTGACTTGCTTTCTTTAGTGCGTTCATTTCTGTTGCTTTCTGCTCAATTGTTTGTTTGTACAACATATGGACACAAGATGTTGCCACACATGTGTTGCTGCTGATGCCTCCAGCAATACCCCAGAAGATATATATATATTTATATATATATTTATATACATATATATAAATATATTTTGGTTTGGCATGTGCGATCTCATGCAATTTTAACTGGAATCAACCAGAACAAACAGCAACATTAACAGCAGCAACACCAATTGCAGCGATCGTCGCACAACGGCAACAGTTGCCGCTGTCTGTCGTCTGACACTCGAGCTCAAGTTCAGCTCACAGCAAAACCTCCCCCACATTAGCGGCCACTCCCGCCACCTGCCCCAAGTTGCAAGTGTAAACTATTTGGCTCTGTCAATTGGCAACATGCGACGCTTCCGCCATGTGTTTTGTTTTTTGCTGGTTGGTCGTTGGTCAAGGGGATAGGGTTGCGGGGGGTTCTGCTTTTTTAGCAATTAGTCATAGAGTTGCCCTTTTTTTGTGCCTTTTAATACCAAAACTGGCCAAAAATACAACAACAACAAAAGCAACAAGAACAGCAGCAGCCAACAGCTGGCCACCGTCCAACAACTGACAACAAGAAGAATAAGAGATGTATGCATTTTGTAATAGCCAAGTCTGAAGCAAACATCTATAAATAGTTGGCCAACAACGCCGCAACAAAAAGATACAAGATACAAAACTATACAACAAACAGATACAGATACAAAGAATCACATCAAATCGAAAACGTAAATCGTAAATCGCAAATGGATAAGAAGAACAACAATCTACCATAAGAACACTGACTTGTGAATACTCTAAGAAGCATCCACTTCAAATTCGAGTTGCCAATTATCGACTGAAGGTCAAATTGATAGCAAGTCAAGTGAAAAAAATGAGAAACACTTTAAAAGTTATTTCCCGTATTTTATGATTTCCTGTTTTTACATGCCCGTGTGCTAGTCAAATGTAAACAGACAGTTAAAACTGAAACTCTGCTTAAGTTTTAACTAAATGTGTAGAGAATCGAACTAATTTCGATTCGATGACATGCTAATTAAATGCTCATCATCATTATTTCATTCATTACGTCATCGTCGCTTGACGTAACGTTGGGTTTTATCAGTTACATAATTGTTGATTTATTAGCCCATTTTTATTGAACTTATCGGCTTAACTCGAAATGTTTGGAATGCACCGGCGGAGACGAGGCGAAATGGTTAATTTTGTGGCACGAATCAGTCAGCAAACAGACATAAGCTGTCTGCTGTGGCACTCGAGTGGAGTCGAGTCAAGTCGAATCGAGTCGCATTCTCCATTATTTAAACATAGACCATAGGACAAACATCTGGGTAGACTGGCGAAATGCCACGAAAACCGGATAAGTGTTTCGCATCTAAGGGAATTATCCGATTCGTAGTTCTACGTAATGCCCGCTATAGACTAAACAGATACTCCGAACGTATCGGGCGCCGGCGTTGTTTGCACAGTGGCTTGGAATGATGTAAACCAATTTCTGTTGATGCTATTGTTTATCAGACTTGCTGCTGTTATTTTTGTAATTCAATATTTATCTGGCACGTCTGCCACAATGAGTGTGCCACACTGGCACTCGAAGCACTCACACACTCAAATTCGTTCACTCACACATTCGATTCAACTCATGAATAATAATTGTTTGGCTTTTGCATTGCGTAAATCTTGAAAATAGAAAAATACAACAAGACGAGACTTCCTCCCCACCCATCTCCATCCCCCCACAGGGAAAACTGTCACATTTTGCCTTTTAAGTTATTACAAAATGCAGAAATGGCCGAGTCTCAAATGCGTCGAGTGGGTGTCTATCTATCTATTTATCTATGTATCTATCTGTTTATGTATCTATCTATCTATCTATCTATCTATCTGTGTGTAGCTGTATCTATTGTGTCATCCTAGTGGCAGCTGCCTTTGTAATTAA